CCAATACAAATTCAGAGATGACGGAATTATCCATCCGGGCAAACGGCAACAGCCTACGAGAAACCCAAAAAAAAAAAAAAAAAAAAAAAAAAACGACGATATGACTGGAGGACTCATCCACCCAATCGGACTACCACCCACTTCCCTGGCCAGCAAGGCCAATCGGGAACCGCCACGTCCGCGACGGCAGTCGACGGGTACATCGACGACGACACCGCTCTCACTTTCGCGTCGTGCAGACGATGGAAGCGACGAGGCGCACAACAGAGGCGACACAAACTCTAACGCTCGCGGATGGCCTTCGCTATCTCCAGCAGAGCGTGACACATCAGTTTGCTAACTTCGTCAGACGCTGCGTAGTTTTTTTTTTTGCACTTTGACCTCTGCTTCCAACGCCTCGCGCTACCGGATTTGGATGGAGCACTGCCGCTTGTTGTTGCTCTCAATCGTCGACGCCACCAGAGCCCGTGCTTCTCCATGCATTCCGTCAGCGCTTCGAAAGTTTGCTGCCTCGTGCTCTTCCTCTTGCCGAAACCGGCAGGGCTTCTCGTCGTCTGAGAAGAACCTCTCGTCGACCCGTCGTCGTCGTCGTCGTGCCTTGCAGCAGCGTCCCCATCGCCCACGGATTCATGATCCGCAGAAGCGGCGGACGGCAGACGCACACCACCTGGAGCACCAGTGTCGGCGACGTTCTTCGGGTTTATGGTGTGGCTCTTGGTGGTCGACCCCAGGATCTCATCGTAAACCGCACGGTCCATGTTGAAGTTGAAGCCCTTTGACAACCTCTCTTTCCCAGAGAATCGGAAGAAGTCTTGTTTCCCGGACAAGCCTTGGAAGTGATGCACTTTCTTGAACTGCTGCATCAAATTGTCCCACTTCTTACTGCACCGTTCTGCTTCTCTGTCGACGCCCACCTTCTTCAACCTCTGCTCCGCATCCAACCACTTCCATTCTCGTGGCTTCATACGAGCGAACGCGGTACCCATCCCCTGCAGATGTGCGTCCTGGTCACTTTTAGCCCGGATGAGGGCTATCATGTCATCCACAGACCAGAACTGACGACCTCCTTCTGCATCAGCGTCAGCTTCGGCATCGCTCCCCTTCCCCACCGCTAATTTCCCCCGACGACCATTGCGACCACACGCCCTCGTCTTCCCGCCCCTCCCTCCCATGCTGCTTTGCTTGAACAACGGTATGTGGCCTGCTCCCTCCTCCCCACGTTCGCGGTCATCGTTGTTCCACTCCTGATCGTTCGGGCCCACCGCAGGTGCGTCGCCGTCGTCTTCGTGCTCCCCCACGCGCAGTCGCTGCACCCCCCGAGTTATGGATTCCTCCCGCCGTGGATGAAGCGTCCGTCGCTGATCTGCCCACACCTCCCTCCCGTCGCGTGCATCACCAACATCGCCGATGCCACAATCAGTCTCCCCTCATTCGCCTCGACGACGGGCTGCAATCGAAGTGGCGGACAGGGGAGACAGAGACTACATCCACAGGGGGCGAGCTGAGGCACCCCTCGACAAAGACGGCGTCCGATATTGCTGCCTCGGAGGATCCCTGTTGTTCCCCGACGCCTTCTGGACCGGCGCTGGAGACTTCGAAGACCGCGCAACAGTCGTCACCTGCCCTACGTCGTCGTCGGGATGGTTGTCGACGATCACCGTTCACGAGGCGGCCGACGACCTCCCGCTACACAGCCCGAACGACAAATTGACGCCGACATTGCCTTCGTCGCCACTCAGCCCCTGCTGGAGGAGTTGGGTATACAACTGGCTATAACCGTCATCGCGGCTTCCACAGACCTCCGTAGCCGCCCACTCCTAGGTGGACCCGCTTCCCAGCGGCACGGTCTGTGATCGTCTCTCGTCCGCCTCCTCGTCCGACGTGTCTGGCAGAGGCTGCAAGTGCGGTGGCAGGTGCGCGTACCCAGACCGCTCCGACGGCCTTGAACTTCTCAACGGGCTCTGCCCAGGCCGCTGGCCACCACCCTCATCCCCTGCAGACCTGCACATCCCCTGGCGCCCCTCCATACTCGCGTCCTTTTTCGAAGACCGTCTTCTGCGGCCACGTCGCAGAACGATGCCGAGGACACACACGTGGAAGACAACTAAGAGTAGGAGCAGGAGGACGGCCAGCACCAACAGCGGCAGCCTCCGAAAGACGTCGGCCATGAAACGCACGTGGACTATGCCAACAGGTAGAAGACAACCATGGACGTCCAGGAAAGGGCGAGGGTCAGTGGTGCAAATGGCCGATCGCAGCTACCGACAAAAGCAGGGTAACGTATTCTATCGCGGAACACACTGCGCAATCGGGAGAGCGGGGGCGGGCTGAAGTATTCGAATTTGCCGACCGTTGGGCGCTTTCCCGCTACTGCCGAAGGGCAGCGACGCACGGCAGCCCGTTTTCGACGTCGCGGAGGATGGCAGGCCGCCAAAGGGGACCGTTGGCGGAGTATTCCATGACGCCGACCATTGCCAACCGGAGATGACCGTCCACGGGCCGCCAGGAACAGCAATGGACCAGCCGCGTCGAAAATTGTCGTCGACAGAGCTGTCGTCGACGCCCCAATTCTTCCGGATGCTCGACCTCCAAGGGACCTCAGGAGGTCCCTTGGGGAACGCGTAGAAATGGCTGTAGCCCGAGGACTCCCCGAGGAATCCCAGAGGAAATGTTTTCACTTTTTTTTTTCGTTTTCTTCTCCGAGGATAAGTGGAACGATGATTTCCTCGGGGATTTTACGCGCCCGAGAGTGTCGAACGAGCCCCAATCTTGACTCGGTCTGAAACTCGGGAGGATGTAGGGGGAAGAGCTCAGGGTCTCTTGTTAGAACTCTGGCCTACTCTGGAATTTGAATAGTACCATGGGTTCTCTCTCCACTACTAACCAAATGTGTGCAAGAAGAGAATGAATCTTCCACTAGAACGTGGAAAGCTACAGTGGCATATTTTTTGTCGTTTGTGTGTGGTGAGTCGTGGAGCGAGGCCCATATTTGGGGATATTTTTTGTAGTTTGCGCGTGTGATGAGTGGTGGAGCTACAGCGGCATAGAGCCTCGCCACACCGCTTCCCAGTTCTAGAAAACTTTCAGAAGTCTAGAAAACTTTCGGAAGTGCTCCCGAAACTGGAATCCCGCTGGAGAGTGCCTTTCGCTACACTGCACTCGCGAGGGGGCCCCTCTCCAAGTCTGAAAGCGACAGTTGCCACATCTCAGTGTGAAACAGTCTGACAGAAGTCGTTTGTCCGTTTGAGCTCCACGCCCTAATTTGGGATGAAACTTGGAGGTACGAAGGAGCTCTCTCTAAAATGCAGCTTTGCAAGCTGTGATTTTTGAGAGCGCACATTCTGACAGCTCCGGAATTCAAGCTGACAGATCAAAATAGAGAGCTGGTGTGGCGACGCTGAACTTCCAAAACAGACACTTTCGGGAGTAGTGTGGCCAGGCACACATTCGCAGATTGCAATCTGGTGATGAGGACTCTGGACCTGGACAGCGGGGAGGGTTCGTTCCAGTACATAGCATACTAAATGCACCTCGACCTTTTGGAGGGCCGTGCAATGAAAATGTTTGATCAGTCCATTTGTATCTGGTCTCTTGTTTGTGACACTGCGGATACTTCTCGCATTGCAAATGGGACGGCCCAGGGAACCCTCCCAGGGCCTCTGCTGCTACTCTAGTGTGTCTCCTCGGCTGCTACTGGTAGTTGCCCTCTTCTGCTGCGTGTCTGCTCACACTGGTTGCAGTCTGGTTGCAGTCTGGGCCTCGCTCCAGTACTCCCACATGCAGAAAAGACGAAAAATGTGGCGGTGTAACTCTCCATGTTCTAGCGGGAGATTAAATCCTCATTTTGCAAAAAGCGTATGGAACTGCAATCACGGCCAAAGCTTGTTTTGCTTTTTGGGGCTGTTTTTTTTTTTGTTCTTTATTTGTGATTCTGACAGTGGTGCTCCCCCGGTTCCTCCTTCTGCCGAAGTGCCCTCACTGAGGGCAGTACTCCAAAAAATGTATCGAACTCCAATTACGGCCAAAGTTTGTTTTGTTTTTTGGGACGCAGGGATTTGACACTGCTGCAAGGCTGAGGCCGTGTACTGGTGGTGTAGGGCCGCCCCGCTACGCCCCGCCACACGACATCTGGGCCATGGCCAATCTGGGGTGTGGCCGAGAGACATCTCGACCGTGGCCAATCTGGGGTGT